CGTCTAATCAAATGTGGCTTCATTTAGCTGCAGTTAAGAATGAATTTCCTCAGACCGATGATGCTCAGTCACATTAAAGCTGGATGTGACGTCCTGATGATGATAAATCTGAGCCGATGGCTTCAAACAGCTTCAGTTTGATCAAAGAAAGTTTAACGTGTAATATCGGCTACACCAAAGCTTCTTTCTCATTTCCCCAAATCATTATCAAAGTAATGAATATTTTATTTCAAATGTTTTATTTTTTCAACTTTTAGGCAGCAAACTTTTATCTGATGTGATTTTTTGGGGTTTTTCTAAACAAAAGAATCATACGATTGATGTCTTGTTTTATTACACATTTCCTGTCTGGTATTTTGTTCAGAAATTATGTAGCCGGGGTTTCCTTGATTACTGATAATATTTCACCTGTCAGGTATGTTTTTATAGGAAACAGGTGCTGATGGTTGTAGTTGTTTGTGGTTTTAGGCAGCAGCTGCAGGGACTGCATCTGAAACAGGAGCAGAAGGAGCTGAAGGAGCTGAGGGGAAGCAGCAGGAGAGACTTACAGGGAGAGACAGCCGGAGAAAAAGTCAAACCTAAACGAACATCCACACAGGTGACCTGTGACCTGCAGCATCTGTCCGATGATGGTGCTGCTGATCAGGTGCAGGTCCACATGGAGCCACAGGGGGGCGTCACCCTGCTTTAGCCTGAGATGAATGGCCCATCTCCTGGCTGACCCCTCAGAGCCAACACACAAGTTAAATAATACATGTGCAGATAACTTTTATTGAATGTCCCTCATTTTATTATTTTATATATTAAAAATGTACTTTAATGTCAATGCAGCAACAACAAATGGTGTTATCCAGGTTACACAGTGACAATAACGGCTAATGTTTCATAAACTCTCACAAACATAGCCTGGCAATAAAAGCTAATTAGATCAAGCATTTCTCTTCCCCAGCAGTCACCGCCGTCTGTGATTGCTGTGGATCCGGAGGTCGCAGAACTCCAAGAGGAGCAGCAGGGGGAGGGGGAGGAAGTAAAGGAGGTAGAGGAGCAGGAGCGAATAAACTCTCTGCTGCAGAGGAAGAAGCTGCTGGAGGACTTGGGAGTGGTGGACCAACTCCATCAGCTGTTCCACATTCAGACAAAAAGGAGAGAAGACCTGCAGGACAGAAGGGAGGCCTGCAGAAACCAGCAGAGCAGACAGGTTGATCAGAGATGTGAGCAGGTGAAGGTGAGAAGTGACTGAACTGATTCTGAGCCATCATGGTGACAATTAGATCATATTTTAAGATTTTACGAATGTGTTTATTTCAGTTTGATTCTCTGATGCTGTTTGACCAGAAGAGGAAACAGCAGGAGGTGACACGGCAGGTAGAAAAGCCAATACCTTTAAATGAAAGCAGCGCTGCCCCGTTATGGAGAAATTATTCCAAAATAATGATCACGTTAAAAATATCCCATGTCACATTACATATTCTTATTTTAAACGTTCTATTCAGTTTTTTAAAGAATGTTTTTCTACGATGGTGCTTGAGTTTCACATTTTTGCATCATTTATTTAAATGAGATATTTGTAAATGTGTGCTTTATTAAATGATAGTTGGTAGAACAATGTGAAAAATAGAAATGGGATAAAATGATTTTAGAATATCTAAGAATTATACATGACAATAAAAATAAGATAAAAACTAATTATCAAATTTATTTCTGGATGATTTTTGCTAACTTATCAATTATTTAGCAAAAAATGTTACAAACCAGACAACTGCTTGATTTTATTATGGTATCTTTTTCCAGATTATTTGTCAGATAAAGTCATGGATGTGAAAGTTGTCTGCTGCCACTCGTTATTTTATGTAACAATTCTATCTGGAAAATGCAGATTAAATCAGCTCCTCAGAAATCCAGAAGCTGATTGGATTCATACATAGCATTAACAACTAATTTTTTATTAATACTATGTTAATTAATAATTCAAGTTGAAAATGAAAAGGCCTGCGTCCCTTTGTGCTCGCAGGCTGCCCTGCCAACATTTGCAGAGCAGAACATCTTTATTATGCAGAATTAAAATGACATAATTTTCATTGCAGCAGCTCTACTCACACACGACCCAGCAACATTTTCTCAGGCCCACAATAGACCAGAGGATCCAGAATATGTCTGAAAGCTCGGAGGCAAAGAGCCGGAGCAGACTGGGAGACGGATACCTGAGCAGCCAGCAGGTCCCTCGTTTAGGTGAACGCAGATTTAAATCTATCTGCTCAGGTTTTTGTGTTTTTCTTCATTTTTTGCTTTTTTCTTAAATTAGCATGAACCGCACATAGCTGCTGCAGGTTTCTTTTTTCTTCTCAGAGGAATTATTTCTATTTCTTTCTTTCTTTCTTTTTCTTTCTTTCTTTCTTTCTTTCTTTAGCTGTTTTTAAAATTAGTCCAAAATAAAAATTTTAAATGATGGAACATTATTTTTCCCACTGACTGTTTGATTAAGAGGTACTAAATCTCAGTGTGGGTTAAATAACGGGTTTGATTAGTTAATTATTGAATATTCTGATTATTTTTATCCATCACCCTCACCAACTTATCTTGGCTTCAACTCTTTTTGTTTACATTTCCAATATTTTGTCTCACATATAAAAAAATAAAAATCAATTGGATGTTGTCTTTTTTAAACCTCCTTTTTCTTTTAGAGAGAGATTTTGTCAGGCGGGACAGCGGGAGCAGCTCCTTTGTGTTCCCAAAGTTCCGAGGAAGGATCCCCGCCATAAACCAGGTCCATAAAGGGGGTCACACGTCCCACGACCCTGCAGACCTCCAGAGTCTGTTTGTTGTCTCCACTCGCATCCCGATCATCAGCAGGCCTGGACTCTCTCGTCCAAAACTCCTCCTGCAGAGCTCCTCAAAAAGTAAAAGGTCTCTAGTTCTGCAGCACACAAACCTCCATGGTGGCAGCAGAGCAGGAACTGGAGAGCCAGGTTGATGCTGCCCTGGGGTTTATTGGGAACCTTCAGAGGTGAAGGTAGACCCATCCTTAACTGTGAAGAGAAATAATGGATCAGTGGAACTAAGGATTTCTTTTCTTCAATTTCTGTTTTTTACTTAATATTTGCACACTGACTGTTTTCCTATCCAATGGCCTTTTAAATTTATTGGTTTCTTAAAAAACAGATTATGGAAAAGAATCTCAGTGCCAAGAATAAAGCAGTGACTTAAAAAGGCAGCGTCTGAATTTCTTTCAAACATTAATATCAAACACACGCGCACACACACACACACATACACAAACGTGTGTGTGTTTATTATATATATATATATATATATATATATATATATATATATATATATATATATATATATATGAATTTTTTTGGGGAATGCTTTTTAATTAGATTTGTTTTCTTCTCTGTCATTTTGTGGTTTTATTGTCTTAAAACAAGGAGATTTGCAGCTTTTTGATCTAAACTCTGGGGCCACAAAGTTTTGTTTGCAAACAAAAATATTTTTAGATGAAAAAAAAAGAAAAAGAAAACCAAGAATCGTAGGGATGAAAAAATACACCATGTGTTAATCTTACAAGTTTTATGTTATGGAAAACGTAATTTTCTTTAAATTTTGGTTTTCTTTCATAAACTGGTGTGTTAGGAAATAGCTTTAAAGGTATTTAAAATGTTTGTTATTATTTTTATTATTTCAGATGGGAATTATTCAATGTCTGAAACTCAATTAAATCGAGTGGTTTGGGCCTCTAACTCTGGCCAACACACATATTTTGGTGTTGTTGATATTTTTCTGTTTTATTATAGGTTAGAAATTACAAAAAAAATTAAATAAACTTTAATTTAGGAGGCTGAATGAAATCATTACTGTAGAATCTGATTTTTAAAGGAGAAAAAGTGTCACACGTTTTATTGAGGCGCATCTGAGTCATTTTTAAAATTAATTTGTTTTATAACTTCATTTTTAGAGAAACAGCAACGCTCTATTATAGAGTTTTAAACAAGTGTAAAAAATAAAAGAATAAACTAGTCAGAAGCCGTGTTGTAGTTTAAGATAAATTGTTTTATTGCGTCTATAAATGTCGGGACTTCTCTTGGTCAGTGGGAGACACCAGTAGGCCGCATGAAATGGGATCAGTTTTAAATAAAGCAAAACGGAATTGATACCAGAAATAAGCACAAACCAGAACAGACACAAGCCTTTAAATTATCGATTAAGCTTCATTTATCTAAATGATCAAATATTGTTTGTTGGGAGCTTATGACATCAAAACCCCTCCCGGGACAACCAATGTGTTTCTGCTCCAACTTTTAACCAAACTGAGACTCAAATATTATTTTAATCCTTAATTCAATGCTTAAAATTAAATCATTTGACGAAGTGCGTTTTAGTTCATCTGCGTTATGATTATTTTGATGCAATTTGAGTAAAAGGAGAAAGAATGTGACTTTTCGAGAGGCCGGGAGCCTATAATAAAATAAAAACAAACTAGTTTACCGATTAAGATTTCTAAGGGGAAGAATAAGAGCAAACCTGTCACAAACCAGCGGAATCAAGTCTGTGTTGCGCCTTTTTCACAATATTCCGCCTCCTTTTCCACTTCCTCCTTTCATCCACATCCAAATCCAAACATTTCTGCCTTAAAAGAAAATAAAGATGGCGAAGAGAAACCGTGTCCAAAGCACAAAAACCTCTGCGGTTTATGAAAATTTACAACTTTGCCATGGAAGTTTACGACTCGCCGGGCTCGGGGATTGGCTGCTTGCGGTCATGTGGGCAGCAGGAATGGGAACTTATTTCCCATGAGGTTATAATGCAGCTGCTGTTTTGCAGCGCTCATTCACCTAACAGTTGAAACACAACCGTTTTCTTACCCTTTCCAGCTTAACACGCCTGTTGGAGTGCTGCTGTGAGAAACTTGGCTGCTGGTGCGTCATTTCCCTCAAAAACACTGTGATGGAGCCTCTGCGCGACGCGTGAGTGTGCGCGCCATGTTCCTTCTGTGGCTTTGAAAATGAGAAATCATCACACTCCTGGTGGAGGGATTACTTTGAAGAAATCACTTCTACAAAGTGGGAGATTTCCGTGGGAAAAAGGGGCAAGCAGGAGGCGAGAGGAGCTTGAGCGGAGTGGCGAGCTCTGGGAATGATGGATTATCAACAAAGGTAAGGGCACCATGTTTCTGATAAAGCAGGATGAACCCAGCTCGCCACTGCTGCCGCCGCTGCTGCTGCTGTTCTGTTGTGGCTGAACTGTCACTTTAGGCCCAGTGTTTACATTAGTGAAGAAGGGGAAATCTGTCTTTAATTGCGGTGATTCTCCAGAGCAAAGCCTCCTCTTAGGCTGTTTTTTTCTGTCCTCAGCCCGGTGTCTGTCTCAGGTTAACCCGTGAGATGCTGCACCTCCCTTTACAGCCCAAATATATCCGCTAAATGAGTTGAAACTGGGGCATGCTCTTGGTTTGAGGCCCTTTGGAGACTGGAAATTTGATATGCGGCTACAGGCCAGACAGGCTTGACTTTGATGATGATGAAGGCGTAGATGAGGGTCATACGAGGCCTGCGCTGCCTCTGACGCATGTTTTTATTTAAAATCAGCCTTTTACGCACAATATTTAACCAATGATGGTTCTTATTAAATCTTCTGGTATTTAACTTTTATTTTGTGTTCTTTTATATTCTAAAAAAATCACGTTAAGTGAATTTTTTGTTGAGATTGCGTCGCGCCGTCCCTTCATAGCGTCTTTTTCTGCGTCTTCACAGATTCTGCATGATTTTTTTAATCTCCCTTTAATAGTTATTGTTAATGAAATTTGTGCTAAATGTGTGGTGGAAAACCGTTCACTTTTTGCTTTTCTGTGTGTTTTATTTTAGGGTTTAGGCGTCTCGCTTGCGCTTCTCTGTTGCGCTTTTAAAAAAGTAAAATAAAAACAAGAGATTTGTTCTTCTCTGCTTTGCAGACCAACATTAAAATGCAAAAAGTATCAGTAATTGATATTATTTCAAACTCTTTATATTTATTGTGTTTTTAATTGAAATGTTTTATGAAAATATCCCTCCAAAAGCGGATTTTTGCACATAGCTGCCTCAGAGCAAAGTCAGTGGATAAAAAGAGTAAAACTAAACAATTTGTAAAATATACATCACTTTTTAAAAGTTAATTTGTCCATATGTTCTACAATCATTTTCCACAAATAATTATATGTTTCAGCTGCAGATTATTTCAGTGCACAAAAATGTTTTCAGCATTATTAGTAGACTCGTGTCTCTTAATTAATCAAATAGCCCAATAAGCAATTTCTAAGTTTGTATTCACACATTTAGATGGAAGACCATCAGCTGCATCTGATATGATGCCCATAAGAATAAGGACTTAAGGGTATTCATCTGATCTGGATTGATATTCATCAATATTTTTCAATATTTGTCAAACAGATGCATGAGAATGATTTTCTTGTTCCGTTACCTGTTTATTATTTTTGGGAGCTGTTTGTACACTAGACCAAAGTGATGATGATGATGATGATGATGATGATGATGATGCTGATGTGGATACAGGCGCGTGTCTTCTCTGTTCCCTTCCGTTCAGTCTCGAATCAGGTCTCCTCGGGAAAGACGCACAGCTTTAAAGAGTAAACATTTATAGTTAATGACCTGGTTTTTCCGTTTGTTTTTGAACGAATCTGGTTATTGTAACCATGGCCGCCTGCTGAAGGGAGAACAAACAGTTGTGTTGGTGTTTTAATTCTCCAAAGTGTGTTAATTAAAGAGAGGATAAAAAAACAGAAGAAATGCTCGTTACTCGCTGGGGTTTGTTATCTGAACGCATGTGATTGTGCATGTTTTAATTCTTGCTTCTTTATTAAAAGTGTGTGTTTCTGTGCGCCAAGACATTTCTGTATGTGAGTGCGTGTGCGTAAAGACAGACAGGCTTGAGCGCTTCATTTCGATTCACCGGGGACTCCTGTGCGCAACAAGAGCCCCCCATGGGTGCAATAGTGCAAGCACAGACGGCGGTGATTGGCCAGAGGTTGATCAGATGGTACACTTCCCCTCTGTATTCAGTGGCACCTCACAACCCCCCTTTCAGCAAAAACCAAATCTCCGATAAAGTAATGGCAAAAGCACTTGGACTATAAAAGACAACAAATCATATTCCTCCGGAGTATATACACCCCGTTGTCCACCCAATGAGTTCCTATTTCGTTAACTCAACTTTTCCCGTGTCTCTGCCGGGAGGACAGGACTCTCTCCTGGGTCAGATACCGCTCTATTCCTCGGGATACACGGATCCGTTAAGACACTACTCCAACGCGGCCACGTATGGAGGGGCCAACATGCAGGAGAAGGTTTACCCAGCGTCCTACTACCAGCAGACGGGCGCAGCAGCCGCGGCCATCTACGGCCGCGCCGGCAGCGGAGCGCCCTGCGACTACAACCCGGTCGGGACTTTCTACAAGGACGCCGAGGGCTCGTGCGCTTTCTCGAGCCGCGAGGACCCGCCGCTGTTTGTCACTCAGGAGCACCAGCAGCGCAAGGCGGAGTGCTCGGAGCAAAGTGTCAGCATGAGCAGCAGCCTCGACGACAAGGCGTCCACGCTCATCTACCCCTGGATGCAGAGGATGAACGCCTGCTCCGCTGGTGAGTAGCAGACTGTGTTGTTGTCACGTAGGACGGAGGAGGGCTGCTTGTCAGCTGTGGAGCGCCTCCAAACCTTTCAGTAACTATAAAAACACAGACGAATCAGAAAATAATGAAACACTAACATATTGTGGGGGGGACAAGGGGAGTTTGTGGTTAGATGCGACTACGCGCGGATCTTCGTGCGCCTTCGGGGTTTTTGTCCCCATCATTATGATGTACTGGAGCTACACGACCGCACGCGCGCACCCAACAACACACGCACACCGTGGGCCTGCATCAGCTCCAGCTTGCAGCCCGTCTCACATGGCCTTTACCAGATTTCAACACAGGAACAGCGGGGAGAGGACAAAAACAATACACAGAATTCGTCTTTGTATGGAGATCCTAACACCACCAAATGTTCCAGAGTCAGACTCATACCCATGGTGCATGAACAGTGCAGACGAGCTCAAAATGACAAGAATTGCATCAAATATTATTGATACATTCTGCAGATCAATGCAATTTTATTCACTTTACGCACTCATGCGTAAATAATGGATTTTATTGTCATATTTTGGCACATCATCTAAAAGCAACCCAATGTGTCTTATTGTGTGCAGAGATTAGGGCTCTTCAGTGAATATTATAGAAGAAAATTTCAATACTCTGCATAGATTATTCAGCAGATATGATTATTTTCAACGTCTCACGCGCAAAATGTGAAATTTTAATGTCAAAAATAAAGATTGACATATTTCCCCTACATTTTCCTATTGCTGATTTTGTTGTTTGTTTTATATTTATTCATTTCCAGTTTTCATTTTAATTATTAACAGGGGAATCTTTTTTTTTATTGCAGGCCCATTTGGCAGCAGTGGCCGCAGGGGCCGACAGACCTACACCCGCTACCAGACCCTGGAGCTGGAGAAGGAGTTCCACTTTAACCGCTACCTGACCAGGAGGCGCCGGATAGAGATCTCCCACGCTCTGTGCCTGACGGAGAGACAGATCAAAATCTGGTTTCAGAACCGCAGGATGAAGTGGAAAAAGGAGAACAAACTCCTGAACCCCTCAAAGACACCCGAGGAGGAGGAACAAGCTGAGAAAAAGAGCTAAAAAAGGGGACTCTGAAACAAAAAGAATGTGTGTGTGTGCGCGCGTGCGTTTCTGTGCACACTCCCAAGTTAAAATGATGTATAATTACTTTGTAGATAATATGAAGTGCAGCAGAATCCCACGATGGACTTTGTTTGAGTATCAGCACGACAGCACCGTCCGCATTAATCAGGTCCTCCTCTGTTTGTCCTTGTGCTTGTGTCTTTATTTAGAGGACTATGCAACAATCTGCCAAAATGTAAATAAATCAGTGTTTAGTTTGCTGCTTCCACACCAATGTATGAATCCCATTATTATTAATTTTTTTATTATTATTTAATCCGCATGGCATCTAGCAGGTTGTGTCTCTTAGCGTGTAGCTGTGACTGTGATAGTTTTAGGCTTGCTGTCTACAGATGTGCCATCAACAATTTGTACAAAAAAGACATGCTACCTGTTATTTATTGTTGTTCACCACGTGTCCAATGCACATCTGGATATTGTGTGCAATATTTTGTTTAGGAAATTGTACATATAAAATAAAGGCGTTTTGATGTATAGTGGAAAATCTGCTGTCCTCGTTCTTTCCCAACAAAAATATTATTATTATTATTATTATTATTATTGTTATCATCATCATCATCATGATCATTACGCAGCCTCTGCGCTGACTCTTGAGTCACAATAAGGTTACAAAATGATAAAACTAGCGTAAAGACTGAAAAACGTGCTGTCTGAGTCGCTGCGGCTTGGTGTGGAATCGCCACTGCTGATAAGTCTTTGTTTTACGCTACCTGAGCCGCTCGTGGCCTGTTTTTCAGCGGGTTACATAAATGATGGATGAGTCCGGGGCCTGACAGCGCGCCCCTGCCGGTGCAGTTCCACCTCTGTCCAGAAGATGGCGCTATCTGCCTGCGCGCCTCTCAGGGCGCAGCGGGGAGGCACCATTGACTGGAGCCTAACGACCATTATTTCGTCATCATTTGTAACCATGGAGCATGAATTACCTCTTGAAGTCATCAGTGAGGATTTACGACTGGTCAACAAAGGCACGTGATTCCCGAACGCGCTCCCATATTTGGCCGCATACCTGGCAAAGTACAGTAGGGCTTCATTGCTTATAATTCATGATTGCATCCATAAATCGTGCAAGCACACAGGATTATAGCGACAAAGATCTACAAATCGAGGCTTTAAAAATCCAAGCAAATGAGCTCTTACTTTGTAAACTCGTTCTCAGGGCGCTATCCAAATGGCTCCGACTATCAGTTACTAAATTATGGGACTAACGGCGCTGTGAGCGGCTCCTTCAGAGACCCTGGCACCATGCACTCCGGGTCTTTCGGCTACAACTACAATGGCATGGACCTAACCGTGAACCGCACCAACACCGGCAGCCACTTCGGTGCCGTGAGGGAGGATGCCCGGGGATTCGGTCCGGACGCTCGGTACAGACAAACACCCAACTGCTCACTCTCGTCTCCAGATCCGGTGCCGCCTTCGTGCGCCACGGTCAGCCGGGAGCCGCTCGAGCTGAAGAGCGCCTCTCCTCCCTCTGACCGGAGCGCGACCTCCTCGGGCGGCAACAACCTGGGGAAACCCGGCGTCGCTCATTTCACGGAGATAGAGGACGGAGCCGTGGGCACCGAGACCGAGGAAGGCGCACACAGCAGCGGCGGCTCCGGCTCGGCATCCCGGGCGCAGCAGCAGCAGCAGCAGCACCAGGAACCCAACGCCACCTCCTCCACTCCCACACCAAATGATTGCCAAACGCCACAAATATTCCCCTGGATGCGGAAACTGCACATAAGCCATGGTATATTTACAGCTAATAATATTTAGTTTGGAGGGATGTCACGCTGCCGGTGCGCCATTAATCTGTCAAGTGTTGCATGAGTGAGCATGGTGTGAATGGCTGAAAAAGGGCAGTATTTGTGAAGTGTTTATGGGTTTGTTCGCTGTTGGAGGGGTTTCGCCACCACGGACCCCGAGAAGGGCTGCTTTGTGTAATCTGGATTAAATGTGCGCAAAACATCCCCGCAGAGGCTGTTGGTGCAGGAGACGCGAGGCTGCAGGGCTGTGTTGGTTGCATGCGTTCCATCTTCCATCCGATCATTTCATTTTCACCCCTTCATCTCCTCGTAGCGAGGGAACATACATTCAGAAAGCTTCCATTTGCCTCCCCTTGTGTTGCTGATAATTGTTCTGGATTTTTTGTAAAATTATAGATATGACTGGACCTGATGGGAAAAGGGCCCGAACCGCGTACACCCGCTACCAGACGCTAGAGCTGGAGAAAGAGTTTCACTTCAATAGGTACCTAACCAGACGGAGGAGGATAGAGATAGCCCACGCCCTGTGCCTCTCCGAAAGACAGATCAAAATCTGGTTTCAGAACCGCAGGATGAAATGGAAGAAGGACAATAAGCTGAAAAGCATGAGTCTGGTGACCGGAGGCAGCGCCTTCCACAACTGAATAACTTGTTTTTTGGGAGGAGGAAGTAAAATGTTGCTAAAATTCACACAAAAAAAAGACAGAAAAATTTTGAAAAAGAGTACTGTAAAGTTATTGAAAGCGCAGCACCTTCCAGCATGCCATTGTGATAGAAAAAGAAGTATTCCGTGGTCTGAAAACGCCTCTTTTAGTTCCTGTTGTTGATATGGTAGCTTAGATGTCCTATTTGGGGAGAAGTTAAAGATAAATGTAAATATTCGGGGGGATTTGTCTGTTGCTCTTTCTCTGTTTCTGTCTCTTGCTGTCTCTCTCGGAAGTGTTTCAACTTGAGCTCTTTATTCTTGACGGTCTAACAGGAGTAACATTCAGTTTAAAAGAAAAAAAACTTCTCAAACCATATGCTGCTGTTCATTGAATGTAAAAGCGCTTCAGTGTAAATTTTACTGCTATTTTCGATTGTGGCCAAAATCCATAAAACTTTCAGCCAATGTGTTGCTCTAAAGTATTTTGTGTATCTATTATTATTATTATTATTATTATTATTATTATGACTATTGTTTAGAACTAATAACAAGCAATGCAAGTGTATTCAACCTGTCAATGTGATAAACTTAGTGTAAAGGGTTATTCTGTGATATAGGCAGTGACGTGAGCTTTTTTCGCCAATAAGCTTTTTGTATTTGTAAGTGAACTCATAGCGCTTGAAAATAAAGTTTCTCTCAACTGTTATGTCTCATATAAACGTAATTTTTTCAAATGTATTTATTTATTTTTGTTACGGCACAACTTTCCAGAGAAACTTTTCAGCTGTTTTCTTTACCCCCCACCCCCCTCTCCATGTTAATGATTAACCCGCTGAAATCACCTCGGACTTTAAGAACCGTTTTGGACACATTTTTTTGTCAGCTGAGCAGAAAGAGAAAACTTTTTTCGGACTTACCTCCTCTGAAGTGACACTTTCCCCCAAATGAAAAATTAATAGTAGATAAAAATCCCCTCTTAAAAAGATTATGAGTATCTTTGGCTTTTCAGGTATATCTGCAAGGCTGAAGTTGGTAAAAATAGTCCCTTACCAAAGATTGTATAGGCCTATATTACTTACAGACTGTGAAAAGTCACGTGAGGTCCATAAAGTTGGTTTTATGGTTTTGGGGAGTAGACAATGTACTATATAATTCACAACCTTGAATGAAAGTGACGGCTTAACTGCATGGATGGGACTGGAAAGGGTGGACTGGGGAAGGAAGTGTCCAGTCATATCTGAGCTGCTACGCAACTTGGGATTTTACGTAATTGAAACATTTATTTAATTTATTTTTCTTTTTAGGGAAGAATTCTAGATTTTTTATTATTATAAAGGTCAAATAAAAAGGATTAAATTTATTTGTATTTTCATTATATTAAAATAAAATTTTTAAAATAGTTTAAATCCGCCTTTTTCTGCTGAACAAAGGCAACCTTATATTTTTTATTTTAAAAGAACAAAATAACTCGTAGGAAAAAACTAAGTGAGGCTTTATGGAGCGAACTTGAGCTCACTGAGTGATTTATCTTCCCTTCAGTCGAGTCATCCAGCGGCCAAAGGTGAAATCTCGGACAACTCAGAGCTGGATGCAGGCTTTATAGCATAAAGACATCCCAGCTCCTGCACCTCCACTGCTTTTGTCTACCGGCCTCTAATAAAACATAATGATGTTACGTGGAGGGAAGCAGTCGGAGACTCCTCTAATAACATCAAAAGTCCCTTCAAACTCATTTCAGGTAAAAAAAAAAAACGAAGTTAAAAGTAGTGGTGCTATATGAGTGCCAGACATTTTCCACATATTCATAACTATTAAGGGGCAATTTAGCCAGCTTAATGAGTATTGCATATTGATAGGGGTAATCTGGACCCGGATCTCATGCATAATTCATTGCAGCCGGGATCATCGGCGGGTCAGGAGACGAGCTGCAGCCGCAGATGCGTCAGGAGGAAGCAGCGCTGCAGCCGCTCTTTGCACCGTCACCACCGAGACTCGGAAGGCTGTTGGTGGAAGTTCAGAAGAAGAAACATTGTCAAGGCTCCTAATTGATCACCTTTAGTTAAACAAAAAAATTAAATGAAAAGAATGATTTAAATGATTTTGTTTATTTCTAATTTACAACTATTAAACATAAAAAATGAGAAATTAGTGCAAAAAAAGACAGAAAACAATTTAGGTAAACAATTTAACTAGTATAATTTCAAACAATATTTTGTGGGACAAATTCTGTTTTATCGCAATTAATTTTTATTTTTAACACATCTTCATAATAATAACACTCACCAAAATGTCCCTCAGACCTGTCGAAATGTTATAAACGTTTAAAATTTCCACATTAGATTAGATTTAGTTGATCTAATAGTGATGGCAAACCAAATGTCACCTTGAGCTTTTTTCCTAATTTGGGGGGTGGGGGAGTTGAGACGGATGCTCAACATCTGTGTGCTGCTGATTATCTACAGTTTCAAGGTTCTGCCAGCAGAGGGCGCCTCAGACCGGCTCGGAGGATGATGGATGAGTTTGTTCTCCCTTCAGCGTTTATCAACAGATGTTAGGCAGGTTACCAAGCAGAACACGCAGAAAAGAAACACAAACACCAACTCCAAGTTCTTATCTGTTGAGTTTGAGAGGGAGGAATGAAGCTTTAATCCCAGATTCTCTCAGCTGAAAGTGAAGCAGATTTTTCAAAGGAGAAAGTCGGTGGAAATCTCTGCTTCTTCACTCTTATCAGTTTGTTTGAAATGCAAGTGGGCTGAAGTTAAGAGCATATCCTTTTCACTGATTTATTGCTGTAACCTTTTCAAAGTCGAGATGGCTTAAATTCTCAATATTTCTTAAACCAAAAGAGAAAAATAGTAAAATTGTCGTTCAGATCTGCATGTCATTGGTATGAAAATATTCTATCTGCAAATATACAGCACCCATAACAACGGTACATGTTTGTGCTGAAGTTGTGTTTCTTCACTAACTTAACCCTCTCAGGCTCACAACAAGTTTTGATAAAAGGACGAACAACTAAGTCCTTCAGGGGTACTTTTGAGTTGAAAATGTTCATGAAATACGTATGTGGAGTAACCAGGTAGGTAGGTTTTAACTGTTGCACATCTGCAACGCTTGCCTCCAGAGGGTTAATGTATAAATTAACCCATGTGTGTACCACCTTTGTATGTTGCTTTGGATAAAAGCGTCTGGCAAATAAATAAACATAAACATAAAAAAAACTGTGTCAAAACTCAAAACAAAACTCTGAATGACAACATTTCAGCACTGACTCTACACCTTCTGAGGCTGACCTTACTGTCAGATGAGTTCAGCACAGAAAGACTTCTCTAGACTGGTTTGTAAACACTTGTTTTTGAACTTCATCTCTTTTACTTTGCAGGATTAATTTTAAAGTTTGAAAAATGACCAAATAAACTCACAAAGGCCTTTTGTCAGTTTATTGACGGTCTGTATTTGTTGTTTTGGAAGTCTAAATGCAAACTAATTTTAAATTGTCATTAACCCTCTGGAGGCAGGCGTTGCAGATTTACAACAGTTAAAACCTGCCTAACTGGTTACTCCACATACGTATTTCATGAGCATTTTTTGACTCAGAAGTACCCCTGAAGGACTTAATTGTTCATCCTTTTATCAAAACTCATTTCGAGCCCGAGAGGGTTAAAACATTTTAGCTGCGTGACTGTTTCCAAACATTAATTGGAGAGGCTCTGATTCAATAACCTACACTTTTGTACATTTAACTACAATTTGTGCAAACATCAACACATGAAAAGCACTAGTATTTAATTTATTTACTGGAAAAAGCATTAGTTAACAGCACAAATAAATGCTGTACCAGACCCTGTTACACATTTGAGGACATTGGCTTCTGTTTTATTATTTAGAGACACTTGATGTTGACTTTAAGTGAAAACATTTCTCTATTTATTTTATTGGGGGTGATGGAGTGTTTGTTAATATTTTTTATTTTAATTTTACATCACATCAAATACAAGTTTGGGTTTACAGAGGTTAAAACTTTTTAGAATATTTATTAAAACCTAACTTTTTTCCATTATTGTCCAATTATCACTCATAAAGCCAAAACGACTTTAATTACACCCTATACTAACATTTTGCTAACCTATACAGTATCATTGTTAACGCTTAATTAACATGAGAAGCAGACGTTTTTATTAATGAATATCTAACATTTATTACAACAAATTTTTTTACAAAACATTTTATGAATCACTTTGCTATAAACTGTTTTCTAATATCTTATTACCAATAATAACCACAGTTGATAAAATAATGAAGACTATGGTTTGTGAATCTTTAGTGTAAACACTTGTGACAGGACTTTTCAAGTACAAGAAAACATTAAACTTACGAGTGATGTTAATTGATCAATGAGACTTTTTAATCTAGTTTCTTTAACCCTTAAAGAGCAAGTCACCCCCTACCAGAGTCTAACTCCACTCCCACTTCATGTTTGAAAAATGCAACAAATGCTGTTGCCTGGCAGACCGAGAAGGTGGAGCTGCTAACAAATACACACACACACAGGCTCACGACAGCATTGTGACATCATAATGTACCAGTTTACATCATAGCATAACTCTTAGCCAATAGCGGTGGCAGATTTAAATTAAAATACAGTTCAGAGTTTTTACCTGACAACGGCACAACACTGCCAGTTTTAGGCAGAATATTTAAATTTTAACTAAGATGCACTGAAGTGCCAAATTATTGATGACACGTGTCTGCAGCACGATTAGACACTCGTTTATTTAGTTTATCAGCAAAAAAAAGTTTATTTGGGGGTGACTTGCTCTTTAAAGATGACACCTTATTTTATTTTTTAAACAAAACACATTTATTATAATTTGTAATGATGAATTACTTTTCAGGCATTTTGTTGAATTTTTTCATGTGTAGAGTGTTGAGCAGAATTTTAGTGATGACGTTTTTTTCTCCGTAAGGAAAACAAAACAAAAAGTTCAAAAAAGAAAATACACAAACCAAAAATGTTGTGTTTCTGGTCAAACGTGGCGTTTCAGAGCTGCAGGCCTCCAGTTAGAATGCTCTCTGCCTCCTCTCTGTTTTGTTTTATTCTTTTGCTCCACATTGTTGGAGGATATGACATGTGGGAGAGTCGCAGGGCGAGCCTTGAATGTGGCCATTGTTCAGCACATCATTTGTCACATCTCCTTCTCACAGCCACCGTCTGAGGTTGAGGGGTAAATGTGAGGAGGAACTCCACAAACAGCTACAACATGCTCGGCTGGCAGAGGGAGAGGGAGAGGCAGAGGCGAGGTCGGAAACAGAAGTAAGTTTTCTAAAAGTTTGCATTTCATAAGATAAAAGCAGAAAGGAGAGCTAAATCTGGATTAAGTGATTGTGGTTAAAAAACTGCGTTGACTTTAACTAAATCATCCATTTACTTTTATTTACAAAGTTCTCTGAGGAAGTTATTTTTGCATGTTGGTAAAAAATAATCTTAACAGAATATAATTTGATTTTGTTTTGGCAGAAAAACAACATGTGTTACATTCATAAGGTCATTCCGGCAGTAGACAGAAAAAAAATAACATTTTGAATTTAAAAATATTAGCGGTTTACTAAAAATCTCTCATTATTTTTATAATACAATAAGGACTAATTTGTAAATGTTGTTTTTGGAGCTTTAAAGTGCATCTGTGCTGTTTGTTGATAAGTGCATTAGTTTATGTATTGCCTTGCTCGTGTTGTCGGTGGGAAATCGAGTTGCTGCCACTGTTGATTCAACCGCCTCTGAATTAATTCAGAGCAATAAATGCTGTTTGCCTGCAGACACGTGGTTCCTGCAGCTAACTGACAGCAGAGGTTTCAGAGAGCTGCATTCATCAGGAGGCCTGACACTGGTGTGTGTGTGTGTGTGTGTGGCGGGGGGGGGGGGGGGGGGGGCGCATTGCATATGTCCATCAGGCATGCAGCTCTGTGAGGAGAGGGCATGCAGCTCAGCCATGTTGTCATGTGAGTGATAGCTGCAGCCCACAGGGTTCAAATGTGTGTTTATATTCATCCAGTCTGTCTTTATTCGGAACATCAGATCTCCACCTCTCCTCTCATACATCAGGAGACAGTTTATTCTCCATACAGCACAATGACTGCTGATTTTCTTTGTGCCTTTATGGCGTTTTTTATAGGCTATCAGCCAGATTTATGGATTATTGACCTGTTTATTTTGTACACATATGTTTACTGCAGTACAGTGATCATTTTTGCACTTTCTCAGAGGCAAACAGCGTTATGTCTTTTGTTTATTCACTTATTTGTTGCAGGTTAATATTTCAGGATTAGCTCAAAGCATTAATTATGCATCTTATGTGCGCCTGCTGATGTCATAAAACAAGAGGCAAATAGAGTGTCATTTTATGCATCATAAAAAGTGTCACACTGCCCTAAATTCAACCCCATCCCCTTTAGCTTCCATTAATGTCATAAAAACAACATGACGAAAGTGCAGAAGTGATGCAGTTTGACATGATGCAACTTTTGCATTTTAGTCGCGATTCAGCTGTGAATGCAGGGGTTTGACTTGAAACAGATTTAATCACTCTAATGATTTTAAACGCAGCTGCGCAGTCACTAATTTCCAGAGTTTTACGCCAGATCTCACTCACAGGATTCGTGCGCTCACGCAGCTCGGTAATACTGTTCCGGGTCTGCAGTCGGTTTCCAGTAAACACCGAGCAGGACTGTGCCGCTGCGCACGAGTCTGCACAAGTCATCAGCAAAATGTTCGCACCAGAGATCAAAGACACCAGTTTGCATTAATTAACGCCACTTGGTTAAATATTACCTTTAAGATCCAATCAAATCAACGGAGCAAAACGTGAAGACGAGAGATCAAAGCGCCGCTAATCGATCGAAGGCAGCAGCCTAATTGTCACCCAAATCAGCAGTTTCATCACGGACCACCGTCTGTCTCAGAGACTAGACTGATCTGATCTTAATTTAAATACAAGGCCTCATTCGGGGAATGTACCCGGCGGTTCTGGTGTCAAAGTATCACAATACATGTATCTCGTGTTTAGAAATGATGGAAAATCTCCAAAAGAACTTTCCTATCCCAGTATCGCGAGATCTTGCGCGATCTGTCAGCACCAGCACCCACTACTGAGCTGCTTATTGTTGTTACTAATTTTAAGGATGAGGGATTAACATCTGGAATGCTTGTTTCCTAACATCTGGAATGCTTGTTTCCAGATGTTAATCAGCTGATTGATTTCAGAGAGTTTTGTCAAAAATATAAGCTATCCAGAAAATTGCTAATATGACTGACTAAAACAAAATGTAGGCCAGGGCTCAGCGTTTGTGAATGATTACTCTCAATAAATAACATGCCAAAGTTTTGTTCAATACCTGAGATGTTGTTGCCATTTTTGTGTTTACTAATGGGCTTGTTCGAGATTAGCCAGTTCTGCGCAGATTCGATCACCGGTGATCGGCGCGCAGTGCATGCCGGTTAGATTTGTGTCTGACTTGACGCCGACTTGCTCTGACGTCATGCATATGCAGGTAACGATATCTTCGTGAGAGCAAGGCAGCCACAATTGATTTTGGAGCAAGGCGCTGCAGTTACTCTCCACCTGCTGGAAAACCTAGGGGATGATGGGAAACGCCTGGCTCTCACCTGATCTAAGTTCTGATTGGCTCACATTCTGATCCAAACATCCGGCGGTAGAACATGAAATGCTAGTTGGTCACATGTATTCTGTAAATCATGTTACGTTGATTATGACAACTATATGGGCCATAAAGAGAAATGTGATTTGTGTTCTTTTCTCATGTTTCCCATGAAACACTAAAACTACAGCTGATGACCTTTACTTATTATTTTAGTCATATCTTCATATACAATATATGATATCCACAAGCACGTGAGGATGTGTTTCAGTTGCTAACAGGCACCAGAGTTACAATAAATAATTACACAAGTATGAACGCTAACGCGATATCTTCATCCATAGTCACCTGCGAGCTACATGTAGGGAAATCATCTTAGGTGTGTTCTTGCTGTGTCTTTCTAAATCCATGCTTTCGTTCTTTTTTAAACACAGAAACACAGAAACTGTTTCTGTGTTTAAAAAAGAACGAAAGCATGGATGTAGGGAAATCAGTCCGACTTAAACGCCGGCTTTAAGCACTCCCCCGCTGCGTCCGTCTGCTCTCGTCTGTTTTCCAGGCGAGGTGCTGCTCAACTTGAACAAGGCCAAAGTCATCTGCTGTGGTGGTCACTGTTGATATGCCTTTTATCTATAGCCTGTAGGCTCCACCACTGTCTGTAAAAGTCGTTAAGTGTGATGCAGCGTTTTTGTGTTTGCTAATGTTAACTAGCCATGGTCAGGATGGTGGCCCAAGGCAAAACGGACTTGAATCTCTCACCATCCCATAAAAACATGTAAAGACTTAAAGAGGCAGCCCCCTCGAGCTAACTATTGCATGCATTTCATAAACATTAATTGTCTGGGGGCCCCGGGCCAGCTTGGGGCCCAAGGCAGTTGCCTTGTTTGCCTTCCTTGCAGCGCCCCTGGCAATGGCAGCCATTCCAAAAGCTATACACATGACTACATCCAATAATTACATTAATGAGAGCTTCAGTAAAGTTTTGCTAACAAAAAAAAAACACTGCAAACACACACAAACACACACACACACACACACACACACACACACACACACACACACACACACAAAGTATAATTTTTATAGCCTGCTGCACCTTTTGGCTTTGGTTCACCTGAGGTCTATCTTTTTGTCTCTTTTGGTGTGCAGCCCTAAAAACGCTGCTTTTGGAAGAATGTAAGTCAGCAAATTCTACTTAATGCATCAAAGTGAGAGTGCTTCACATCAAGCTGTGATTTATCTAAACGAAATTGAGTTTATTGACTAAAATATCAACATCAGTTTATCATTATTATTCTAGTAATGGCCAAAAAGATGCAGCAGAATTCCATATATCCTGTACTAAACCTCTATTCTGATTTTTATCGTGGGGTCATTATTATAGCACACACACACACACACACACACACACACACACACACACACACACACACACACACACACACACACACACACACACACACACACACACACACACACACACACACACACACACACACACGCTCGAGCTATTTGCAGAAACACAGGGCGGTCTGAGCTGCAGAAAGAGTGTCCACTCTGCTTCATCTCACCTTCATCTGGGAGCCGCTGCCTCCGATCATCGGATTATTCTAATCTGAGGATTTTTTATTATTATTTGAAGGTGAGAGGGGGTGTTTGTTTCTGAGCGGAATGAGGGTCGTGAAGGTAAGGCAGTCGAGCCGAGTTATGTGTCTTTATGATTTACGAGCCTGACTCCAGCCGCGGTTCAACCAGAGTTCATAAAACTGCATGCCTCCAGAATTATTCTCCCTCTCGCTGCATTTCTCTCCTCTTTTTTTGGAAAATGATGCTTTGTAATGCGGTTTTGTGGGATTTCACCGAAATAATTAGATACATTTAGGAGACCCTACAGCTGAAAAGATGGATTTGATCTCGATTCGGGGTATAAACACCTCCAGCAGCAGCGGTGGCACAATGGGCATTTGTATAATTTTGCATTTGATGGATGAGATTTTCACTAGATTGTGATGCAACATTTAATTTTTCTCTTGCAAACAGGGCCATCTTTTATCCAAACACAGGCTGTTATTTATTAACAGTCACTGGGCCCAGAAAACACCACAGAACACTTAATAAAGCCTTGTTCGTTTTAAAATTCCAGCCATGTTTATTTAGGTATTTATATTTGTTTAATTTATGCAATTTTTTTTATCCAATCCGTTCTAATTAAATAAAAACTGTCAAAAGCGGAAGCCATATATTTTGTTGTTTGTATTTTTGTGTCTGAATTTTTGTTTTTGTTAAAACTGTTAGTATAAAGTATTCTAGGAGGGTTTAATAAAAAAGGGATCAGAATTTCTGTACAGATTTGACTCATTTTGGTGTTATTTTCCAGGCTCCAAACGTGTCATTTCGCCTGCTTGCTATTCATGTCAGCTCACCATTGAGTTGATAAGATGGATTATTTAGTCTCCTCCCTGATTCAGTCTCTTTTTTTCCCTGAATCCTCTCAGGCCTGAAGCCTTTTGGTCTCTGGAAAGCTGCCATGTGACATTTGGCTGCCAGTGCTCTGCCAGAAGGTCAAAGGGGGCCCCAGTGCATGTTTGATAAAAATGAAGTCCTGTGCCACACACAGCATCCACCAAGACTTCTTCAGCGACTCTCTGGATGGTGTCTCCAGGTTTGGAGGCTCTAGTCAAGAACACGAGCCTGCACACAGGTCCAAACCCCCAAGCACCAAAAAGATTTTCCCCTGGATGAAAGAGTCCAGACACTCCAATGAGAACACAGGTCTGTATGACAGTAAAGAAAAGCAGTGTTTTTTTTTACCTCTTCTTAACAAGATAATTTCAGACATTTTTTCAGGTTTAAAAAGATCATTCTTTGGGTGCAAATGAGAAAACATACATTTGAGCCACAAAATGAAAATTTAATCAAAAATATTAAAACAAACATTAGTTGGCACAGATAGATTTATATTCATTTGTCACCCAAAATAGCAAGTCTGCTTTAGATTGTTTTTTTTATTGTAAAAAACTGATAAAAGCATAAAAGGAGGTTTTAGTTAGAATTAGGTCAAAAACAAGGACAGCAAAATAAATAACTGATAATCAGCCCATCAACACAACTTCAAACTGTTTTATTTTTGTAATGTTCTTTACTTCACACCTCTTCCCTCCAGATTTCACCGAAAAGTGTCCAAGCTCGACCCCGGCCTCCAAGCGCATGCGCACCGCGTACACGAGCGCGCAACTGGTTGAGCTGGAGAAGGAGTTCCACTTCAGCCGCTACCTGTGCAGGCCGCGGCGGGTGGAGATGGCCAGCCTGCTCAACCTGAACGAGAGGCAGATCAAGATCTGGTTTCAAAACCGGAGGATGAAGCAGAAGAAGGACCAAAGAGTCCAGGGCCTCTCCACCACGACCTCCTCACCCTCACCCCCATCCTCCCCCTCCACTGCGTGCAGCCCCACTCTGGCGAGCCTTGGCTATGTCCATCTGGGTGCTGATTACCAGCCGGCTTCCCCTCCGTTCAAACAGCGGCCGGCTTACCCGGCAGAATACTCCAAATACCCACCTCCGACCTTTACGCACGATCCGCAGTTTGATGTGCGGCAGTACAACACACAAAACCCAACCGTGGGAGACGACCTGAACGGTCCGTACTTCTCACAGAGCTGCTCACCTCAGGACAGAATCATGCAAGCTCCAAAACTGACCCATCTGTAGCACAAATGGCGCAGCTGCCACTGCATGAACCGTTTATTTATTTTTAGAACAGCAAATCTAAATATAATTCTCCATATTTATTTATTTATTTATTTATTTATTTATTAAAGTGATGCGTGTTTGTAATTTTTTGCGTTCGATTTCCCTTTTACGCATGCGTGTCTTAACGTTATTTAAAAACAATAATGCTTCAGACCATCCTTAATGAATTCACTTTGGGATATAATTAAAGGATAATTATTTCTGAAGAGATTTTAATCTTAACTGTTGATTAAAACATTCGTTTTAGAAACCAAAACGCTCTGAAAAGGCAAATCTTTCCCTTCTTGTTTAGCTTATTATGACCTCAGCATCACATTAACGTAATTAGATGTTACGTTCAGACGATCTTAAAGCGTTTGGAAGATTTTCCCACCCAAAAAAAGTCGTTAGCGCTCAAAAAAGGAATGAGGAAAATAAATCTCTGTTTGTGTCCTAAACGGGCTTTTGTTCTTATATGGTCAAAATGCACCAAACAAGCTGTCAGTGTTAAAAAAAAGAGGCGTGATGGATGACTGAAGTCACTGCGCTGACACGTCTCTGCAACATTATCTGACCCAGACTCGGTCAGAAACAAGTCAGAGGGAATATTTTACTAAGGCAACAGAATAATTAAACTAACCGATATTTAAAACGATAGCAATTTAAAACAACCAAATATTATTTTAATGTTAAGGTGAAAAAAGTCAAAACTTGAAGAGCAGAAAGGCTAAAATTATACATATATACTTTTATGATCATTTTTTGTCTGTCGTTGGAGCTCCTCTGAGTGCAGATGTGTCCTGATGTTTGCGCTCTTATCAAATGGATGAGCGGCGCGGATTGAAGCGTTTGTCATGTAAATTTGCGCCGTTTGATGGACGAGCGCGCAGACTTGACAGAGTGCTGCGGGTCTTTAGCCATTGGGCGTTCAGAGGGTCACATGGTGCGTCAGGAAGGTGATATGAGAGTGGAGGGCAGTTTTACAGCTTTGACATACAACCTAAGGTTAGGGCAAAAGGAGCACCCATTAATGAGTGCTCGGTCTTGATCGCTTGAACAAACAGGCCCAGGTTCGGGATGAACTCCTACTTAGACTATCCTGTGTGCAGCCGCGGAGCAAACATTTTCAGTGCCAATAAGTCCGGATATCCCAACCTAAATCATGGATATGTGTCGTCCAGCTCTTCCGCAACAAGTGACGGTTACGCATCAGATGGCCGTTTGTTGGCTGCAGCTCCTGCGCCGCACCAGAACCTCCCTCTGCACCACCAGGCCCACGCCAGTGTGGATCTGCAGTTCCCAGCACCGGGAATCCCCGTATATGGGTCACCTCTGGAGTACGGACACCAGTATGGCCTCGATCCCGAACAGGACCGGAGCTTTACTCACGCGCAGGTTTCCTCGTCCATCGGAACAAACATGGCACCCTACAACGGAGACAGCTTCGGGCCTGGAGGTGCGCCAGGGAGCCAATATCTGCAGCAGTTTGGGGATCAGAGGCTCCAAGAGTACCCTGAAAGCTTTTACGCGAGGCCGCAGTGCAAAGAGAAGGATCTGGAGCAAACGGAAGACTCTTCTAGAACTTTTGACTGGATGAAAGTAAAAAGAAATCCTCCTAAAACAGGTTTGTTGTTTCCGAGATGTGAAGCGTGCGTAAATCTCACGTTAGATCCAAAATCAGCTGAAAGAAAGCCTGATATATTCTGATATATTAACACTTTTTTTTTACTTGTCCTCCTCACACACGTTTCACTCACATAACCATCGTGCTTCAGCTCCATGTTTTTCCTCCTTCGCCCATTCATCCATCTCTCCTCACAGCTGTCATGTCGGAGTTCGGGGTTCCGGGCCAGCACAACGTGATCCGGACCAACTTCACCACCAAGCAGTTGACAGAGCTGGAGAAGGAGTTCCACTTTAACAAGTACCTGACGCGAGCCAGGCGGGTGGAGGTGGCGGCCAGTCTGGAGCTCAACGAGACGCAGGTGAAGATCTGGTTCCAGAACCGCAGGATGAAGCAGAAGAAGCGGGAGAAGCTGGGCTGCGCTCTGGCTCCGCTGGAGAAGAAGGCCGGTGGTTCTGACGCCTCTCCTCAGGCTCAAGGGGAAAAGCTGTGACCAGTGATGGACTCTGAAAACATGACTCCGTGTTTCTTGCACCTCTCCAAACAAAAGAAAAGACAAAGAAATGTGGAAATGAGGATTTGAGAACTTTACAGGGTCTTCTTTGAAAATGTTTTTATTTTAGTGTTGAATATTTTTATCATGAGCTTTTGTTGCTTCACTGACGTCATCATTTGCACTATTTATTTACAGGGTATTTTACAACATTTGTCCAGAAGATTTAGCTTAAATAAAGTTTATAAAATAAAACTTTTTTTGCATAAAAGGAAATATTCTCATCTTGTCATCCTTTGGATTTTTTTAAAAACACAAATTGGTTTAGTTTAAAATGACACAAACACTTGTAGATTTCAAACATATAATTTCAATCAGATTCTACAGACTTCCACAAAGTTTGCTTGCATAATGTGACAAGAGGAATCTTTCACAACAACACACGGGGTGGTTCTGGGTGACCTTTTCACCTCCAAATACCTCCAGGGGCTCTAAACATGACAACAAACTCCAGGAAGCAGGTCTCTCGCTGGATTTGTTACACAAATTCTACTTGCTGACACATCTTGTCATAGATCTAAGTTAGAATCCTTCTTGAAGCGGCTGTATAAAAACAGAGCTAATTGTGGCGGAAGGGGCGGCTAAACGTTTCCAGAGCCTGACCACCTAGTTTCCTCTGATTGAGATGGGGCAGCAGTTTCAATATTTGCTCTGGGTGATGGGTTTGCACACACAGTTTCTGCTCCAACAGCACCGGCCTGTTGATGCCCTTCTTCCTGAAGCCGAGGTTCATGCAGAGTTCAGCCACAAATGAATGCAGAGTCAATCTGTCAAGACACCAGAGAGGCTTTGTGGAGCAAAACTCTCTGGCTTTTAGAATTCACATTTTCACACAGACTGCTTTTAATATTCCAACTAGGATGTTTTAGCCATGAACTTAATCTGTTCAGAGGTGTTTTGGAGGAATGAAAATCCGCACTCCTTTGAAATTTATCTGCAAGATGAGTATTTTTTTTTACTTGAAAAGACTTTACAGTTGAGACACCATGCAGCCTGCAGATCAGAAGGGCTCGGATATTTGACGTTTTAAGAATCACCAAACCAAAAATCCAGCTCATCGGGCGAGTCGTGCTGAGAAGTGACAGATCCAACGACATTAAGGAGAGAACAAGCGTGGGACTTCTTTCAGGGGTGTGATCCTTGCCATCTCTGGAGGTAATACCTCAGCGCTCCCAGCAGGCTCTCCATCTGGAGGTGACAGAGTCGGTGGTGCAGCCAACACCGGGGAGACAGATGTTCAGCTGGGAGAGAGGACAAGGAGGTTTTTCACCTTCCGATCAGTGGAGAACGCAGGGCATAAAGGGTACAGGAATGGTTAATAAAATAAATAAAATCTGTTCATGAGAAAAAATCAACAACATGACCTGACTGCTACAACTATATATGATAAATGATAAATGACCCGCACTTTTTAAACGCCTTTCAGAGTCAGAGGACTCCAAAACGCTTTACACCACAGAGTATCATTCATCTCACACACACACACACACACACACACACACACACACACACACACACACACACACACACACACACACACACACACACACACACACACACACACACACACACACACACACACACACACACACACACACACACACACACATTCACACACTCATGGGGATGCGCTGTATTGTAGCCACATCTGTCCTGGGGGCATCATTTGGAATTCTAGGATGTCCAAAGAATGTCCCGCCTTTCTCGCCTCTGATTGGCTGGAAGGGCTCTACTACGATTGGCTATTTAGTGTAAGAGGAAACAGTTTTCCCGTGCTGCAGGTTTTTATGTTTACAGCCAGATCTTGAGGAGTTTTTTGAAGAAAATGTGAACTCATCGCTATAATAAACATCCTTTCCTGTTTAGCAACAAACCACTTTCAGTTTCTTTCATTAAAAAACCCCGAAAAACATCAAATGTGAACTTGTAATAATTATTGTAGCATTTTATCACAGTGCAGACTGAATTTGTATCTGTTGGCTCTATTGGGGTTATCTTATTACTTCATTATTAGGCTATCCTGCTTTAATAGGTTAAGGCTGTTTACAAGAGCACATCTCTCATCAGATTAAATCATTTAATCAAAAATTAAGTTAAAGCTTAGACCTATTTTTCACCAGTTTTCATTATTCTAGAGAAGAAACAGACCTGATGCACACAGCTGGGCAGAATAGGGCAGTTTTATTAAATGTCATACCCAGGTAAGGCACATATGTTTATCCTATGTACTCTAATGCTTTGGAGCCAAGAGATATAAAGTAAGTCCAACAAGATTTAACATTCACATTTTACGTTTTTTCATTTTTTTAATGAAACAAAATATTTTGCAAACCAGGACAGAATCTTTATTATAACGCTAAGTTCACATTTTCTTTACTAAACTCCCCAACACAGCTTTCTGCTGGTGGCAGAAGGACCTTAGCGCCCTTAGCGAGGACAGCCAGTTTGCTGTTAAATTAAATAGCCAATCGTAGTAGAGCCTTTCTAGCCAATCAGAGACGAGAAAGGCGGGATCTCCCTTGGACATCCTAGAATTCCAAATGACGCGTCCCGGGGCGCACTGACAGAGGCGAGGCTGCCGAACACAGGCACCACCAGTCCCTCCGACCACCACCAGCAAGCAAAGTGAGTTGTGTCTTGCTTAAGGACACAGAAGCAGAATTATCTGTCCGGAGCCGGGATCGTACCAGCAGTCTCTCTGTCTCTGTCTCTCTCTCTCTCTCTCTCTCTCTCTGTCTCTCTCTCTCTCTCTCTCTCTCTCTCTCTCTCTCTCTCTCTCTCTCTCTCTCTCTCTCTCTCTCTCTCTCTCTCTCTCTCTCTCTCTCTCTCTCTCTCTCTCTCTATATATATATATAAAGATCAACTTAGTAATTTCTCAAAAAAATTCCTTATTTCGGAAACACTTTACAATAAGGGTCTATTTATCGACGTTACTTAGTGCATTATTAAACATAAAAAAATAAAGGGTCCCATTAATAATATTGCTTAGTGCATTATTAAACATTAATAAAGAAAGGGTCCCTTTATTAACGTTGCTTAGTGCATGATTAAACCTTAATAAACAAAGGATCCCTTTATTAACGTTGCTTAGTGCGTTATTAAACCTTAATAAACAAAGGACCCCTTTATTAATGTTGCTTAGTGCATTATTACACCTTAAAAAGCAAAGGATCCCTTTATTAACATCGCTTAGTGCATTATTAAACAATAATTAAAAAAGGGTCCCTTTATTAACGGTGCTTAGTGCATTATTAAACATTAATAAACAAATGTTTCCTTATTAATGTTGCTTAGCGCTAAAGGATTTCTTTATTAACGTTACTTAGTGCATTATTAAACAATAATTTTGAAAAAGGGTCCCTCCATTAACGCTGCTTAGTGTATTATTAAACTTTAATAAACAAAGGGTCCCTTTTTAATGTTGCTTAGTGCATTACTAAACATTAATAGACAAAGGGTCCCTTCATTAACATTATTGTTATTGTCAAATATTAGGACAAAAGGCCAAAGGGGGTGTCTGCTTAGTAATGCATTAATAGTAACATTAATAATAAGCAGTATTTTATTTAATAGTTTATTATTGCTTAATAATGCACTAACGTAATACAGCGACCCTATTTTAAAGTGTTACCCTTATCTCTTACTTCAGCGTCTTTGATTTGTTGTGAAAAGCACCTTACAAAACGTATGTATTATTATTATTATTGTTATTATTATGACTTTTTTCAGGAGATATTTAAATTATTTTTAGACATTTTTATCTGTTCTGCCTTTCCTGCGGTTTGTTTGAGGTTAGCCGGGTGCAGTTTGTACCCCACACTGCTTGCAGTTGTTGCAGGCTCTTTTATAAGTCTATTGCCAGGCTCACTTCCTCACTTTTCCACCAGTTCCTCTCTCGCATGTCGCTCTGCAGGGTCCCAGAGGCTTCAAAGGGAACAGGATTCAGTATTCATGGCATTACAGGGGGTTGGTCATAGAGACATGCCACAGAGAAGAGATTTTTATTGTCAAAATGCCTGCTTAGGCCAGTTTGTAAAAGTTTAAGGACTCGACTGGGTTCTTGATGCTATCCTAAAAGATTGAAGCAAATCATGTAAGAGAAGAAAGGGTTAAAATATGCACTCGCTTTCAGATTAGAGGAGGAAAATGGGTGAGAGGAATTAGAAAAAGAGCAGCAATCGATCCCTGAAAATTAAATGGCAACAATCCTGCTGACAGAATATAATTCTAGTGATTTTTTTTAATAAAGCACATTTTCAATGTTCAAACGCCTTCAGTGTCACAACGTAATGCTTTGCTTTGTTAGCGACAAGATGAAAGAGAGTATTTCTTGTTTCCAGGCTGCTGGTTGAACAAAGAACGACACATAATGACATTGTTTTTTGTTTTGTTTTGCTTTCAGCTCCATGATGTCTGTTGATTAGATCATGGAAAAAGGAGCATCTCTTCTTGATCCCTTTCATTTACTTTTCTATATTAAAATAATATTTTTGTGGAGTCTTCCTCATGCTCAAATCAAAATTGAGTTGCATTTTGTAGATAAAGTGAAAAATACCAGGTGTTTGCTTGATTAAGAATCATTATTGCAAGTTGTGTTTATTGTTTGCAACAAAATGTTCAATCGGATAAAACCTGAATAATATTCAGCATGCAATCATTAGTAGGCCATGTCCGTCATGAATAATATCAATCACTTTTCACAACCATCATCAGTAAGACATTGTTCAGAGATGCTGTAACGAAATGAATGTCACACACTTCTCCTTTGTTTTGGCACCAAGCCTCCTTACAGCCCAGCTAGGGGGGCTCGTGACAACCATCCCCCATCTGAGTCAGGCTCAATTGGATCTGGAAGCAGCAGCTGACCCAAAGCTCCAGTCTCCTGGAACTCCCCCCTTCCCTTGCGACTGGATCTTTTCCCCACTCCATCAGCATAGTAACTGAGAGAGACAAGTGACTTGGCCAGGGTTAACGTCTTAATACTCCCCGGGATTGCCTCCAGGATCCAAATGGCTAGCCCCAATAGTTTTCCTCCTCTGTGCACCTGTCAGACCACTATGAGTGCACACCATTACAAAAAATAAAAACAAGAGCAGCTGAGGAGCCGCTAACGAAGCGGCACAATGAAATAATGAGGGGTGGTGAGGAGGAATGGTGCTCTCCTGTAATGTTTGGGGTGAGGAAAAGGGATACTCTGCACGGAGAAGCTGAAATGAAACCAGCTCCTTCCTTTGGAGCCCAGGAGGGGAAACCAGAACTCAATCAGTGTCACGTCACATGGTTCAAAGCGACCAATTCGATGCTGCCAGGAGGTTGAGAAATGCAAGGTGACAGTTCATTTTACCAGTGACAGTGTGTCGGTCTCGCTTGCTGGTTCCCCAGTCAATTTCCAGCGAGCGGTGAAGGTTGCTGGAGACAGACAGCAGCTACACCTCCTCCTCCTCCTCCTCTTCTCCTTCATACCACCACCGCTCTCTCATCGACCCCGCTCTGCTTTGTATTCCAATTAACTGGACAGGGGTAGAGGCAGCAGGATCACAGGCAAGATGTAGACGCATTCCTCTGGCATTTTCCCAGTCTCTCAATACCGATAGTGCTTGGCTTCCCTTTTCCTCTCTTCTCGGATTATTACAAGGCCAGTTGTTCCTGGGGAATAATTCACAGTCCTCTCTCCCTCCAGGGACAGTGAAAAATAGGCCCCTCTCACACATTCATACATCACATGTAATTGAGGCACCTAATCACTCAGTCACTGCTGGAACTTCTGTCCTTAACAGACACCTCAAATAATGCTGAATTAATATTTTGAAATGGCTCATATATTCTAACATAATACAATTTGAATGATTTTCCATTCGGTGCTTTCAGGGCTAACATTGATCTGAGCTGAGGTAACTCTTTGAGGCAGACTGAAGGTTGTGCGTTCAGATTTGCTCCTCTGTCGTTTCGCCTCCTCAGTCTTTCATCGCTTTTCTATACTGTCACCACCGAAGCACCCGCCCCTCCTTCCTGCACTCACATATGTTTGAGCAATGGGTGGTTTGGGAATACAATGATTCAGAGGAAATCCGAAAAGTAAACTGCCTCTTTTTATCTCCTCGAGCAGCACAAACATTTGCAGCTTAAGAGTCAGACCAAACACCCTTTTTTAAACATATTTAAATTGGGATCAGATTTGAGCAACAACTTGAGATGTTTGCAAAAGGTTTCACAAATAATGAGATTGAATTAAAGTTTATCCAACAAAGTTTCTTTTTTTTAGATGAAGTCAAATACAGGTTTAAAGACATGCATGCTTTATTTGTCCCTTTAAAATGTGCAAACCTCACGGCCTATCTGGAGAATGCAGTGTGTGCCTGTTTGCAGGACAGGATGCACACACACACACTGTGCCCTGAGGAACCTCCTGACTCTCTCCTGATGCTATCAGATCAGAGAGACCTGCCGTCCTTCCCCACACTGCAATGCAAATAAAAAGGAATGTGCTGATAAAAGGCCAGATCCTGGAGATGAGAGGGCAGGAGGAGGACAGAGGTAGCAAATGCTTCAAGGGGGGAGAGCCTCTTGGGGAGATGAGAGGAGAATGAGGAGTCAGTGTTGGTAGTAGTGGTAGATCACAGCCTTGCTCCCCCTCAGTGGCGTTTGATACAGGGCTTTTGTCGCTCTTTCAGAGGTGCATTGTTGGGTGGTGTAATCCCCGTCGGATTACAAAGAGCCTCCCTTTCCACATGGGGGGGCTGTCTCAGCAGGCAGGTGGCTGGGGGTCTGTGGAGCTGTCAAGGGGAGGGGACCTCTTTTCCAGGGGATGGGACCCCAGTTCCTCTTACCTTCACAGGGGCTTTTAGCTGGGAGGCCAGTCAGGCACAGGTCAGCGTGGGGACAATCCTGATGTGGGACTCAACTCAGCCTGACCCTGTGGATTCCTGTTGGGAGGTGACAAGGAAGGAGGCCTTCAAGTGACAGCTTCCTACCTTAAAAATCATTAAAAGTAAAACAAAACAACAACAATGAAAAAAAAAAATTCAGAAAGTTGAGTAGTCCTACTACCGTCAGTGGTGGATTTAGCAATTTGGGGGCCCAAGGCAAACACAGACATGGGGCCCCCTTAAACTAAATTTCGGCAATCTTACTTTTAACTGGATTTACGAAACTCTCCCCTCTTCTGCCATGAGTTATTTTCCCTTTTTATTAGTCCTCCTCTTTTTGCCTGTCTTTCCCTCCCTTTGAGTGCTTTCAATATTTGCTCTGCTTTCTTCTTCCAGTCAGTGCTCCTGTGCTTTAGCCTTTTTTAATTTATTTTTAATTTTGGTCTATGTTTTCCTCCCTTTAAACATTTTCTATTGTCTTTCCTTTTCTGCTTCCTTTTGATGTTTACATTGAAAAACGATGTAACTTTTGGAAGTGAGGATAAAAGTGTTTTTAAAGCAAGCTGCTTCTTTCTCTTATTGGAGCTACTAGGATAATTCCATTTCATGCTTAATGTTTTGACTACCGCTTCAAGTTTGTTACGAATGCTCCCGCCTCTCTTCTTTCTCTTCTTCTTATTTGTGGTCTCATGGCACTTGGCACATAACAATTTGGTGCATTACTGCCACCAACTGGATTGGAGTGGAATGACTACCAATCGCTTCCTGTTTGTGCATCGGCATCTTAAAGGAATAGTCCATTGTGGCATAAACTGGGGTGCTGGCGGTCAGGGCTAGGAGCCCCCCCAACATAAGGGGGTCCCAGGCGGCCGCTGACCTATGCCTAATGGTAAAACCGCCACTGACTAACAAAATGCAAAACGAGCACTACTTCTACAAAATTTAAGACAATAAATTATTTGTGAAACATTTCAGCTGCTTGTGTCTTTCGACAATCTTTAATTTAAAATAAAATACATTATTAATGCATTTTAGAGCAACAACCACCAAAAATTGCAACGGTCTAACAAAGCTTGATAAATATTGTCCACATCAGCAGATTGAGATTTAGTTACTCAATTGCTTTCCTTTCCTGTGTTTCAGTAATACAGGATCAATAAGACAATAGCAGGAGCCACCAGTATTTCTTTATGTGCTGCATCTGCTGCCACTGTCTCTTCTGCAAGGGTCAATTGTGTGTGTAAAAGCCCAGTCCAGTTCAATCCATTGCTGTTCACTCTCTACTGGTAATCTGAACCATCCATCCACACCCTGTCAGATGTAGTGAGGGACCAATTTAGTGGCGCTGAATTCATGTGCCGGCTGAAATATTCTTGTTAGTTTTTTCTGCTTATCCTGAACATTTATGGGAGATTTAAACAGTAAAGTGAGAATTTCTGAAACACATTTCAACGAGATGTGCTGAAGACAACATTGTTTATTTGATTTAAAATTCAGTCGTTGCATCTTAAATTAAGTGTAGTTGTTTATTGGCTGCTAAAACCATCCAGACATGTATTTATCTTTAAACACAAGAAAGAATTATTAGACTGCATGTTTATCAACATTGAAGTACAGCATTACCCTGTTTATTTGTGCTTACATGTACTTGAAAGAAGCCACTTCACAAATCTGACATGTACAGTAAAATAAAACAAACAAACAATAATTGTTGTTTTTCACCTTATTGGTCGGCATGTTGATAAGAGACAGTGTATTGCAAAGCTTTATTGGTTAACTTAAATTCATAATGTTCAAGCAAAAACTCTGTAAAGCCTGATTTACAATTACAACAACTGCATCAAAATGTTTGCTGAGGGTACTTGAATGCATCTTCCTCCTGCTAGACTGACATCGCAAAAACACACTTAGCTAGCCCGTCAAGTTAGCCTCTGACCAAACTTTATGAGGTAAGATAATTGTGTTCAAGTCCAAGTTTTAAGTCCAAATCGTTCCTTATTAATCGAAGGCTAAGACAAATTAGATTTTTAATACATTTACACAGTGACCTTTATCACGAGTATGACGGTGCCAAGGTTAATTTCCGGTTTAACCATGCTAGCTTATGCTAACTAGCTAGCTACAAACACATTTTCCTCCTAATTAATTTTTTGCTGAAAATATAAATAATTTTTCGATAGAAATGCCAAACTGCAAAATATAGTTGAAAGTTTCTGGTTTGCTTTTCATTTACACATGTGGTAAAATGATAAGTGCATATTGTTCTGCTTCATCATTACATTGTGATGGTTTCATTATATAAAGCTAACATGACAAACTGACATTCTATAGTAATCTAATTTTATTACAAATTTATTGCATTTGCAACAGTCAACTCACCTGTATCTAGCCTCGATGGGCTTTGGATTTGTTGCTAAATGCTTTGAGATGACCTGTGTTGTGAATTGGTTCTTTCTTAATAAACTAAATCCAAAAAGGAAAAAAAATGTCAAGTTTGTGGTTAAACTTCAAAGTTGAAAATTATTGGCAAATGGTTAGCGAATAGACTGTAATATAAAGGTGTTCCACTGAGGTGTTATATTTAATTAGGTGGTTTAATCAACAATACAAATGAACATTACCACAGTTTTTGGGGAATCTGCAGTGATCTCTGTATGAGGCCAAAAGACAACATATAGAGATCCTCAGGCCCATCAGTAGTACTGCATTAAAACACACATTTCTGAAATGGGTTCACACATTTTGAAAGCAATCTTCAGTGAACACACATCATTGCCAAGTGAATGCTGATTTCTTCCATGCAAGAACGATCATCTGTCTTATCACCTACCAACATCTGTGTCGTCTGTGTGGATAACCCGTGCTTTTTATGGAACAACATATACTTCCTTTTAGAGAACCGTTTTTAGAGGGTGGTTTCGATGACTTCCTGTACATAACACAACAGCAGGGCTCATTGTAGAAATAGATTTTATCGTTTGATTTGAACATGAAAGCACCCATACACATTTAGCACACTGAGCAGCTTTGCAGCATTGTGAGTCAGAGGTGTGAGCCAGGCTTTGGTGTGTTTCAAATAAGAAACCAGACTGCAGAGGAAGTTGTCATCTGTGCATCTGCTCCACCCCAATTGCAAATCTAGAGCGGAAGTAAAGTTTCAGTTGTAAGGGGTTGGATGGTTTGCCTGCCTGCCTGTAGATTTTTTTAGTGTGTGCCAGGCTTTCTTTCCTGTCATGGAGCTGTAGCAGAGTCTGGATGCATTAAAGCTGTTTGAGGGTAAAAATTTTTTATCAAGATTTAAGTGAGCAGAAAAGGCTGTTCCGACTTATTGTTGAGCAGGTGAAAGCCAAGAATGGGTGCCATCCCGAAAGAAGTCAAGAGGCTCTTGGATGGTAACATCTTTGTTTTATACTCAATCTTTCATCAAAACTACCAAGTTTCACTTTAAAATGTTATTATTTAAAGCAAAAGAGCTTTTTATATACAATATGATGAGGCAGAACTGTCTCAGTCAAATGACTATTATAAAACATTGCTACACTGACATTGAAGGGAAAGTAGAGTGACTTTCTAAAATAATTGTCTGGTTTACAGAAGTAAACTCTGGAACATATAAAGTTTTATATCCCACCTCCTCATTTCAGACGTCATGTACAGTCAAATGGTTTCCTTCGTTGTGGCACCTTATCATTTGATCACATTTGCATGTGCTGCCGAACCACTGGAAAAAAACAAACCTGTTTGCGTGTGTCGGTTTATTTGTGTAATAAGGGAACATAAAGAAACTGAATCGGATAAGTGATGTGGACCAACCTGTTTATTTTTTTCGTTATCACATTTATTTGTGGTTTTAGTTCAGTAGGATCTTGAAATAAAATGTTCTTCCTTTTTGTTGGTTCCAGTTTTCTCACCTATTGTTCAAGTCATAGAAAAATGTAGCTGTTTATGTTTGGGAAAGTTGTGCAGCAGTGAACGTAGCAGGCAAAAATGAAGAATTTAATCATCCTGACAGAAAGAACAAACACATTAGGATGGCTGCTTTCTTTTTAATTAAATTATTTGGACATTTTTGTTGGATTAAGTATAAAATAACGTAATTTTATGTATAAAACTGTAAACCGTCATTCAAAATGTCAATTGTAACAAACACAAAGCATGAAAGGTAGTTGTGTGAAGGCAGTGTATGCAGTTGTGTTATTCCTCTGTAGCTTCTGATTATGAACTGTTTCCACTAAAATCTAACACTTATTCATATTTTTGTTTTTAGATTGTGAATTATTCATATCAGACATCCTTCAAGAGGAAGAACTGAGTGAAAACTCTCAAGAGACACGGAAAGTCCTCCTGAGCAACTTCTGGGTCATTTTTAGAAAGTAGGTTTTTTAATCTTGAATCTACAGACTCTTTACTGCTGAAGTGTGACGATGTAACCTTACAGCCTCCTCATTAAACATTTTGTTATTAACACAAAAGAAAAAAACCTTAACTGTAATTGCTTTACATACGGTGTGTAATTTGCTTTAGAAAGAGCTCATTTCATCTAATGGCCCCAATTTAAAGACTTCCCTCTTGCTTTTATTTTTTATTATTATTTAAGGAATTTTTCATGGTGTTTTTTATAAACCTTACATACCTGCCAGTGTCACGTTACACAGCTATTGGAAATCCATGCAGCAGCTGACCCCTGCACACTCCAGAGGCACTACATTTTATTGCTGCTGCTCATATCTAGGCTCGTAAATTATAATTCCATGTAAACACGTAATGTGAAGTTGATGGTTTAGGAAATGCTACTAAAACAGCAGTGAATTTAGAAGATTGGGTTGTTTCATAGATTAGCGCTAACCTTAGCGCTAACCTTGGGACAGCAGTAGCTCAACAGGATGAGGGGGTTGTCCAGTAATCGGAAGGTTGCAGGTTCAATCCTGGCTCTGGACAGAGAATTCTGCTGTTGTGTCCTTGGGCAAGACACTTAACCCATCTTGCCTGCTGGTGGTGGTCGGAGGGACTGATGGCACCTGTGCTCGGCAGCCTCTGTCAGAGCGCCCCAGGGCAGCTGTGGCTACATCGTAGCTCATCATCACCATCAGTGTGTGAATGAGTGTGTGAATGGATGAATGATACACTGTAGTGTAAAGCACTTTGGAGTCCTTACCCTGAGAGGCGCTATACAAGTGCGGGTCATTTATCATTTATCATCATTTAGATCTAGGCTAGCTATTAGCTCATTAGACCTGAGGTGTGTAAGCCTTTTCTCTGAACTGATTCAGTTTAAGAACCCATCTACAGATCCAATTTCTACACAGAAGCAGACCTCTACATGGCTGAAATAAACTTTAACATTTTTAAAAGATCTTCTGGAAAACTCTTGTTTTACTCTAATCATGCATTTTAATGTGATTTAAAGAACTGTATTTGAAACCAGAAAGTGAAACTCTTGCCTGTAGTCTGCTTGCTCTGTCCGGATGCTGTGGTGCCTGCAAAACATGTATGCCGACATGAGCTGTGTTACAGAAAACCTGTGGTTTTGTGGCTCTTTGTGCAGGAAACAATTATTACGTTTTAGAAGCAATCTTGTAGCAAAAAAAAAAAAAAGAAAGCAAAGAAAACGCTTCAGGTCGGTGCAAACGATTTACCTTTTTTGTGTTTCACTTTTCTAGATTTCCTCATGACTTTGCCTCACGATGTGAGTAAATATCAAAAAGTATCATGTACTGGTGCCTATGTACCAACTCATTGTCCCTTCTTTATGTTTTTATTTCACACACTTGAATAAAAACTCAGTGGATCTCAGAGAAGACGACGGTTCTGATGATAACCGCAGCTCCAGTCTGGGTCGTTCTGCTCACTCTGACACATCAGACTACCAGGATGAAGTCCCTGAGTGTAAGTTATCAACAATCCTGTTTTGGATCCCGCTCTGTGATTTCTACATGTCTGTAATTGCAGAATTTTTGCACAATGCAGAGATCTGAGCTCAAAATGGTCTAATTGCTGTGTAGCAATGGCTTTTTATTACTCCCCAATAACATACAATTCTAGCAGCAAACCACAGTCCAGCAGAATAAATGTAAGCCTCGGTAACGACATCCTGGAAAATATTAGGAACACGCGTTTACACTGAAAGGCTAAGTTCTGTATTAACAAAGGAAATGATGAAGAGGAGGCGTCAGCGCCACAGAAGGCAATGCCAAACTCCTCTGAGAAAACTACAGTTTTAGCACATTCACAAAGCTTCGCCTCACCACAGGAAGAGCAGGTGGATCCTTTTGTTATATTGTAGCACACCCTCTAATTAAATATAAAAAAAAAAAAACAGATCACATCTGTGAATTTTACCTCCCTGCTGGCCTCCTACCTCCCTGTCCGGTGACATCAGCGGCTCCTCCTCCTCCTCCTCCTCTTCCCTCCTGGACTTTCAGGTACCTTGGTGCTGGAAATATGCTGCTGGTGGGTCTCAGAGACCTGAATGGTGACCTATAGCTCCCTCCAGTGGCAGATTCGCCAGCAGGTTTCTGATCTCTGAGGGACGTGTGTGGATGGTGGGAGGAGAGGAGGAAGCCCACACAGAGAGGAGAGAGGAGGCTTTGTAGCTGCAGGCTAATGCAATGATTTATTGACCCTGAGCTCCTCTATTCTTTCGCAACTGGGTTTGAAATACAACACTGTACCTGAGGGGCCATGTGTGTTCCATTCCTCTCTCCCTTTATCATTCTTTCTTTCTATCTTCCTCTTTTTGCCTCCCTTCCATTCAGACTTTTAGTATTTCTGACTCTAATAGCCCTTGACGTGACATGCCGCAGGTGGGCGTTATGGACTGTGCAGCCTCAGGTGCCCATCTCTGCTGTTTCTGTAGCTGTTCTCATGAGATAAAGCAGGACGCAAGTTGGAATTTCTCACTACAAAAAAGGGAATATTTTCAGTCTTTTTAGGATACTGACGGTTAATGCCAGCTGGAAAAAGTCAAGCATAGAAGTGGCTTAATGAGCTTCATCTCTGCTCTCAGAAAAAAACACTGCTGCTTGTTTCTACTAGTTAAAAAAAAAAACATCAAAGCAGATGGTGTGAGAATAGACCACAGTTACTGAAGACAATTATTTGATTTTTTTTTTATTTCAGTGTGAATAAGAAGAGATTTCCTTTGGGAAACGTTCAAAATCGAACCATAAAACGCTTAAAATGTCCCCTTAAGGCTTATGGATAACACTGGTAAATGGTGTCGCTGTGGAAGTGATTGTTTTTAACGCGTGCACACACACACACACACACACACACACACACACACACACACACACACACACACACACACACACATACACACACACACACATACACACACACACACACACACACGCGAAAATCCAAATTAGCTGCACAAACTGTAACATATATTTTTTTCTTAAGTTTTCCTTTTAATGATTATTTTTTTAAACGATAAACAACCAGATTGATGTTATTGTTTGATAAATAATCAAAACATTTGATGGGAGGAAACACCTTGCAGCACTGAGGCTGTTTTGTGTCTGCAGCTTTGTCGGCGTAGCGACAGGTCTGTCCTGACTAAAAGGGCATGTTGAGTTCAGAGTTCATCCAGTGTTCACTGCCAGCTGAAAGAAACGACTCGCATGTTTCTGCTGGGCGGATCTGTTTCAGAGGATGGGGGGGGGTGTCAGTGGAAAATAATGGCTTCAGTTCTTAATGAAATCAGAGACATTTTTTGGAGGAGCAGCTATCCACGACACAATCTGGGGGTTCTTTAATATTTAAAAAACCTTTTTATGGCAGAAATCTTATTTTGAAAATTTATTTCGTGATTGAGAGGTTTGTTGGAAAAAGAACAGAGTAGAAAATGTATTGTCTTTGATGTTTGATTGCGTCTCTCTTTATGTGAGTCTACTGTACACAATAGAGACTTTGTGACTTGGAGAATGTATGAGCCGTGGTAATCGACCGCCTGCCTTCGCTGCACTGCCTTCTCTAACCAGTGAGTGAGTGAGTGTGAAGTCGATGGCTGCTTTTACTCGCAGGAGGAGCCTGCGCCGTTTGATTAGATGCGGTGGCCTGTTGTCTTCGGCGGGCTGGGTGACACCATATTTGTAATGGCTGAAAGGAACAGATGGAGCCTCCTTTGTTAGCCAGGGTGTCTGCATGGTAATGTGAACTGAGTTTCACCCGCCGACCGCACCGGTGACCTGACCGCGCCTGTAGCCTCATACACCCCAACTCCCTCTGCCTCGCTCGTAGCAGCCGCTCTGTGGGGACTAGCTCCCATTTTAAGGAATTTCCATTCCACCATCATTCCAGTACATTATGCATACATAAACAAATACAGGCACAAATTTCTCCCTCTGGCGTGAAAACGCTCTACAACGCACGTGCTCGCCCTCACGCAGACACAAATAGACCCCGGGAGACAGCTGGAGATGTGGGGCTTTTAGCCCCGTCATGCTGTTTGCAGGTCAAGTGTACGAAGTTGAAATGGCCTGTTTGTTTTCCTTTGATTGGGGAGCTCTGCTGGGCGCTCGCGGATGTTTGCTGCTGCAGCGGTGACAGAGCACTGCAGGAGGAGCTTTGTTCCAGGAGTCATGCAGGAAAAAAAAAAAGATGGTTTTGATATGATACAAGTGCCTTGAGTGTGATGCACCATTTATTTGTATTACTCAGGTGTGGCTGTTTAAAAATAAATGATCTTAAAACTCTTGTTTTCAGGCCCTTTTGAGCTAAAAATAATCTGAATTAGATTGCTGTTTAAACCCTAAACATTTAGTTTACACATTTATTAAAGGTCTGCAACACTTTTAGCTATTTATGTTAATGTTTGCAGATTTATTTTGTGTAATTTAAAAAAATGTATATTTCTTTAACGTGCATGGAAACACAAACTGTCCAATCAGGATGCAAATTTTCAAAAGTTTCAAGGTTAACGTTGGAGAAATTGGACAAAGAAAATCCTGTTCTTTCAGGACAAATGCTAGAACTAGAAGCCAATTATTCACATTCACTTAAATATTTAAGATTTCGTTTTCTCTCTGTGGACTGGTTGATTAATAAAGTAATACTTTCAGCTCCAAAGGAACGTTTGTCCACGTGTACCAGCCAAGAATGGGACTCCTGTCAGCGATGGCTTTGCTGGTCCAATTTCCTAAACCAATTACTGGCGTCAGTATGCAGTTGGACAACCAATTTGAAGTTATGTCTCACTGTTGCCTATTCCTCATTTGAATATGAGGGGCCAATGCACAGTAACAACATTATTACACAGTGCCTGTAAATAGAATATTAAATCTAAATTCTGTCATTTTGGCTAAAGCTTGGAAAAGCCATTTAAGGTGGCATGTGTTTAAGGTGGCGTGTGTGTGTGCGCCTGGGCCCGTTGGCTGGTAATGCTGGGAGAGAGAAAAAAACCAACAAAGTACGCCAGCTGACAAACTAAAACTCTATTAGAGGTTTAATCTCCAGTGTTTAATTTGCCAACTGCTGTTTGTGTTTGAAGTCTGATTGTGGAGGAGGAGAAAGTTCACCTCCTTTCTGATTTCACTTCCAACCACGTTTTTGTGTCTGTTTTTTTGAGATAATTATTATTTTATTATTTTCTTGCTCGTGCCCACTTACTGAATTTTTGACATTTGACCTTTTGTTTGGTCAACCTGTGACCCATCTGCAGTCTGTTCAGAGATGTGTGAAGGATTGTCCCGACTGTCACGGGACGCTCATAAATTGCAAAGTTTCCTTCCACCTGCTGGTAGTCGTTTATCGCGCGTGATTGTCACAATTTCTGCCTGGAGATTCATTCCTCGCCGTGCTCATTGGTGTATGGATCTTGTGACATTTGGATAGCGGCTGCTCGTTTGCAGGCAAGCGAGGAATATGTTAATGACTTCCACTCTCTCCTTCGTTCTCCTTCCCTCCCTGACTTGGGCTGCTATCTGTGTGCTTTTTTAGAAAGTCGCTCGCACATTACGAGGCAGGCGCTGGATCTGTGGATTGCTGCGACTGCTCGCCAGCAGGGTTCAAAAGTTCACCCTATTCCCCCAGGGCTACTGTGCTGCTGCAGATGCTGATAGTCTTTTCTTTCTGCCTCTCTCCTGGCTGCCTTTCTTTTCCTCTCTCCCTCGCTGTTTACACTATTAATCTTGTACACTCTCTCTCACACACTCACTCACTCGACCTGGCAAGAAGAGAGCGGCTTGAAGGGGGGATTTGGACGTATTTAACCGAAGGGCATCCATCACTCTCATCTTCGACTTCACCCCCTGCCTAAAGCCACACCGTGGAGGTTTTTTTTTCTGCTTCCTCCTGGTTTGATGCAGCTCTCTGCTCATTTGCTTTGTTTTATTGTTGCTCTGCATATAATTACATCCCTGCTCAGCCTCTGGTGCAGCAGCGTGTTGAAACCCAGGGAAAACAGGCGAAGGTAAATGTGCAGCCGTCCATCTGTAAGGGAGCACATAGGCAGAATGCAAAGTGGGAAGCTGGGGCAGGGTTGCTTCTAATCTCCCCCAGAGCTGTCCATGTCACAGACAAATAGCAAAACTATCAGTTGCAGCGGGTTCACCCAGAGGTTAGCGTTCCCAGGTACCTCCTGCATTCACTCCCTCTCTTTCTCTTCCTTCCTTGCAAATGAGAATTTGATTTTGCCCTCCACTGGAATCCATTTCTGGAGATGAATGAAGTTTCAATGCCAAGCCCAGGTGGCCCTGCTGATTTCTTAGGGAAATAAATGGAGATGGGAGAGATGTTTTGGCCCGTACACAGACAGTGACATGGTGGCTTCCAGCGCCTCTGGGATGCCTGCCTTTAATTGTTGCTGTAATATAGCACTTTAAGGTCATTAACACACCCTCGTGGAGTGATTCTGGGATGTTCAGGATGCATCCTTCTTTACA